AAAGGACGATGGTTTCAGGCAGTAGATGGCGACAACATGCAATTAAGGACCGAAAACAGTAATGAGTGTCTACGATGACGGGGTCTACATGAAGTCCGGTGCTTCATTCGACAGGTTAAAACGAGTTATGAAAACGCCGCGCCCATCGCCGCGCGTGGCGGTGCGGCGAATTACGATCCTCTTTACCGTCTCCCCTAGATACAGGTGTTGACCCCGTGGAGCTTTATTCCATGTCGCGACGTGATAGGCGTTTCAGGCGAAGTAACGTGTGCTGCATTCGCACCAGGACCCAATCCACTCACCGATGCAGTGTTAGAGGAATTTACTCTACTCGCGTATGCATCACTTAAAATGACTAGCTCTCTAAGTCTGTCCAGTCAACTAGCCGAGAAATACTCTGCTACGCGCGATTCTGCGACTGGAAAGTAACACTTTACAACCGAATGTCACACACGCGAATCTGCGCCGCCGCAACTCTGATCTCCCGGGCCTGCGGCAAGCGCGAAACTCAATCCAGTGTATTTCCGAATTGTAAAAAATACCTCTGCTATTAACATTAACCAACAACACAAAACACATGAAAAGTTACTGATATTTACTCAGAAAAGGAATGCACAACAATGAAATCAATGGAAGAAAATGACAATATTGTCAGCATTCTCATAACTTATTCAGAAGTACATACATATTACAAGTGTGAGCAATGAATGGTTGAAAAGAACGTCTGTTGGGGAAGGTCATGGCACAACTTCCTCTTCGACGAGCTAATCGTAAGGCAGCACAGTGATGTGAATGGAAATCACCTAATTGGGAGGCAAGAGAGAGCCAGTAAGTGAATGAGAAAGGGGGAGAGAGGGAAAGAGATATAGACTTAATAGGGCAGTGGCTGAAGGGCAAATGCAGCAACACGAAGTGAATATGGCGCTCCCTGACTCGAGCAAAGAAAGTTCTACGTCCGTAGGTACGGTATGTACTAATAGTCGTAGTAGTAGTAGACCTCTACAGTTAATGGTTAGCACCCGGAATACAGTTCGCTTGTGCGAGCCCACTGTGAAAACCATGGTGGAGTTAACCACCTAGTTAGCTAAGATCTCTAACAGGTACAGACAGAGTTATTAAGGGATTTGTCGTGGGCGCCGGTTGCGACGATGCAGAGCTGTCCAGCTGTACTCAGCATTGGATCGCTTCGATACCGAGTAATGACGGTGAGATTGTCAAGTCTGTGCCGATATGCAGACCGTGCTCAATGATCCGTACTTGTGGATTGACGATATTGATGGGTAAGCCACCCAGATTGTTCAGTGGTAGGTTGAGCACGATGCCCTTCTGGAGTGTGTCGCTCAGTAACTGAAAAGAATTATTGAATTGGTCGACCGATTCAGAATAATTTTTGGGTGGAAAAAAGACAGTCCCTACTGAACAGAACAGTATTGGAAGCGGGCAAAACTCTTCTGAACGTAGCTTTTTGTCATACCAAATGCGCTGAAGCAGACGAGTTCCCTACCAGCTAAGCCGCTTTTGTGGCAGATGGGCAGACAGGCTTCCCTTTTGTGGCGAGCGGGCGACAGGCTACTTGTCCGGGGACTACGGCATCAGCGCTAACCTTGGTCAACATTGACTATCGTCTATTCCGGAAAAGGATTATGATTACTCTGGATTATTATAGATTCAAGCAAAAGTTCAAGGATAAATGAGTTGCCTGTTGTATTTCTATCGTATTAACGTGTTTCTGACAGAGATGAATTCCTCTTCTTAACCACCCCCCCCCCCAGGCCGCATCCACGTTGAGGATCTCACAGCTAGTGGAAAGGCTGAAATTTGGGCTAGCTTTATCCTGAAAAATTTCCCGCCATGATGCGCCCTCGACCCATCTCCTGAGGTCAAGAAGACGGATAGTACGTAACGTCAGGACATGGTGAAACCTCACGAGGATGAAATTCCACTAGGAGGAAAAGCATTTTTTCAATTGTAATCCCAGAAGACATGAGAGAAATTGTGGAATACTATACGCAGTGGCCCAGAATATAGCTAACTACAATCAGTAGGTGCGGAGAATTTGGCATTATAAAGACGCACCAGCTTTAAATAAACGCGTTCAGAACTGGCGACTGGAGTGATATCAGTAGCGCGATTCCAAAAATAGAGCCGCGACTAGATCGCGCTCTATCCTGCTAATTGTTGAACCGCTAAAACTGCCTAACTGTCAGATATTAGTATGAATGTACCGGCACCTGTATCGTTCAGCAGTCGCGATAGAGCTCTTCTGTCACAACATGGCGCGAAATTCGAGCGGCGATTCGAGGCGTGCCCAAATTCACACGAGTTTTCGGTATATGCGAAAACAAAATGTCCAATAAGATTTCTATCAAGCGTTCGAGAGCCTCTCGCTAACTTTTTCTACTTAGACTGTTTGAAATAGGCTTCAAATGATTTAAATACACTAATGTGCTGAAGAAGTCACCGCTACCATGGCCGCTTTCTCTAAAAATAGGTTGCGCACTCGCTGCTAATAAAGTAGAATGGACAGGGCGAATACAGAAAAAGGCACAATGTGTCTGGCCCCACGCAAAGGAATCGACGTGGATGCGCCTTTAGAATGGCGCCCACCTGAAATTGGCAGACGTTTGCGATTGGGCGGTGTTGTGAAACTGGATGGTGACTGGTTAGAATTCTTTTTTAGAGAAATTAGCACCCTGAATGGTGTGTTGCGCTTAGGAATTTCTATCAGGGTGTAAGACAGACACAACAAACCTTTTGAATGAGTTCCTTGCCGAGATTTCCGAGGTTATCGAGTGCATCTTGTGGCAGGCCAAGTGTTCCTGCTCTATCGGTTAGTTTGAGATTTGTAATCTCTGCTGTACCCACTAAACGGTTTCCTTGTATCTGTACTACCAACACTATCGTGCCAGCTATAGTGATCGTTCCGACCTGAAACACAGTTCAGACCGATATATCTTATTCCTGTTTCGGACATGGTGCAGATGTCTTCAAACCAGTACGAGCAATGTACGGCCCTGAATCTCATCAATGCTTCGAAGGTTCAAAACCAACAATAGTTGCGTAAGAAGCAAAGATTATTGGATCCAAGTAAACAGAATAATCTTTGATCTGCTTACTTGCCTGTCCTTCTATTAGGTCGTGAGTTTTCACCCAGTTTTGAGCCACCCTGCCCCCTTCCCCGCTTGAACGGATCGATTCGAACGATGAGGAAAGGCCAGAGAGCCGGGAGCGGGAAGGGGTCGTACCAAACCCACGCAAAAACTAAGGGGGGGGGTCGTCAGACTCGACTAATGTCTCTATCCTAGTACATGTAGCCCTGTCTCTGGGATACGCGGTAGCGACGACATAGACACGTCCCACGCCATACACGGTGAGCGAAAAAGCTCGAACGTAGCCACGCTTTGGCTGACTGAAAATGCAGGACTGGTTGTGTAGTGTGGCCGTCTTGTAAATATTTCGTAAGCATCGGATAGCATTCTGATACATGAGGGTAATTGAATATATCTTTAGCTATCAGATGCCTGTAAGTTTCGCGTACACGCAAGAATCAGGACGCATGATGCGAATAAAAGAACTAGAAAAGAATATGAGTATGGATGGTTGCCCGCCTCGGTGAATGGGTTCAACGCGCTCACAACTTTTTAGCAGCGTCCACCAACGAACAATAACGTCCTCCAAGGTTCGCCGGGCACGCAGAGTCAGCGACCTACGAACTACGGATTATCGATCCGGTGCCTTTTCTACCAGTGAGTCAGGACCGTCCGATCGTGAGAGTATCGGGCAATAGGAAGGAAGCAGACAGCTGGTAGAGAATATGGGACGATAGGAGGGGTACCACCTGTCTGCTACCCTCGTATCGCCCACACTCTCCACTCTCGGACGCTGCTAGTCGCTGGCAGACGCTGGCAAACGCTGGATCGATATCTATATTTTTTTAGTCGCGGACGCTCGGAGCGCTGGTGGACGCTATTGGCGCTGTTGGACGCTGCGGCGAAGTGTGAAGGCAGCCTAAGTAATCTAAGTAAGGTTGTGAGCTGTCGCTTGCCTTTGCCTTCGGGTCAACTTGCTCCCAACCTATTCAAATCAGAACCCAGCTGTCCACCTTGTGCGACCGTGAATTGTGCCTCCAAACTGCTTCTTCTGGTGTTTCATTCAATCATTCGCTTGGCTTGCTGTACAGCCGCAGTTGAGCCGGACACTGTTTTGATAGTATAGCGTTTTTGCTTTCATATATATATATTTGAGCAGCTTGGCTTGGCCAGCGCCTTAGGCCTTTTGAGCCTTGGAATCAGCCCTTAATTCGAAAAGGGAGAACGTACTCTATTGTTAGTTCCATAGATGTAGATGTCGGCGTCGGCTACCAGATCCAGTATAATCATACCTGAAATGTAGCAGCTCAAAACTGTTTGTAGTAATAAAGGGGACCGAGTGAGAGCAAATCTGTCTACGAATGTCAATTAAAGACACATGGTACGCTCAAACACATTGAGGGTGTATGAGACTATCAGCCCCCCAGCTGTCGATGTGTCGTGGTCCCCCGCCCAAAACTGCACGGGGTCAGAGTACGGGGCCGTGGGAAAGTCGTAATTCCTTGCTACACCGCCCTCACGTTTATGCTAACACCATCCGCGCGGCGCGGTCGCGTGCAGCTCTCTTGGCTTTTTGCCAAGTCCTGTAATTGCGCTTTGGAATACAAGTACAACGCAATTTCTTTATGCGGATAACATTTTAGGTGCTGCAAAATAAGAACCGAAGATGATGACGAGGGCTAGAACTCAAGAGCAGTGCTGCTTAAGGCCGCGCTGCTTTCAAAGAAACATGAAGGTAAAAACGGCCCTAAGCGTCCAATCTCGTTAGTTTATGAAGTATTTCTAGTGGCTACTGGAACCGAGAATTCGAGCCGGTTCGCCAAAATATGGCAACTGACGCGATTTAATTTATTTGCGTTTCCTTAGTTTTTTCAATTTTGTTTTATTTACATCTACATTCGTTGTTGTTCATTTCTAGCCTTTGTCATCTTCATCACCTTCTATTCGGACTTTGAAGCATGAGCAATACCTCAAATGTTAGGAAATTGCGTTTTGCTTGTATTGTCATGTTTTATTGTCATGTTGTCCGTTTTTATTGTCATGTTCTGTGGGAATGCGCGGCCTCTGAGAAAAGTTTGCAGGAACAGCACAGTTGCTCTTGAGTTCTAGCCCTCGTCATCATCTTCGGTTCTTATTTTGCAGCACTTAAAATGTTATCCATATCAGGAAATTGCGTTTTAATTGTATTTCAAAGCGCAGTTACAGGATTTGGCAAAAAGCCAAGAGAGCTGCACGCGACACGCGCCGCGCGGACGGTGTTAGCATAAACATGAGTTTGCGAAATGGGCAAGGAATCACGGCTTTTCGCCACGACACCGCGTACTCTGACCTCCGTGCAAGTTTTGGGCGCGGTGATCAAACGACACATAAGACATGCTGGGGGGGGGGCTGATAGTCTCATGCACGCTGCAAATGGTGTTTGTAGCGTACCATGTGTCTTTAAAGACTTTCTAAAAGTTTTTGGGCTCATGCTTGAAATATGGGTTCGCCGAAAAGCATCAATTAGACCTACCTCCACGTGCGGCACTCAAAATGGCGGAAGGTGCTCGTACAGTACGGATCACTATATTGATCCTTTGATTCGGATATCTCTCTCGAACAGCCGGTAGAATATCACCGAAGCAAATGCCAAGATCGGCAAGGCCGCCGGCATCCTGCCGTTTGCCACGACCTTTGATCATCATGGCCGCAGTTTGACGCCTATTTCGCCATGTCTTCAACGTCTTTTTCGATACACTTTTCGCCGCCGTCGTCGATCGGGTTCCTCTTCGTCAAGCTGAACGACAACCGTAACCATTTTCATGCTAAACACACCCTATGCTAGCTCCACCTCTGTGGCTTCCAATCCTTCTTCGTCTTCATCTTCATTGCAAGTTGTTTTCAGAAGTTCACCGATCTTTGGCGTATCGGGACCGATATTGAACACCAAAAATTGTTTCCTGCAATAAAAACATCACTCTTAACGAAAAGATATAAAGTAATCCTAGCTCTAAAACCCTTCATATTATAAAGGGGTGGATTTGAGGGACCATTCGAATCCGCCTGCTTGTACTGCAATGTATAGTTCTGAACAACCAAATCGACTGGGCGTGTCAGAGGGACACGGATTTTGGAGCCAGCATCGTGATGTGTGAGATGGTGGTGTGTGAGATGGTCTCCCCACCTGAAGGAGGTTCTCGGTACAACCCCTCCCTCTTCCCCAACACCTATCTACCAATTTCCCGCATTTTCCAGTTTTTCACCCAAAAATTTTCCGTCGAGCGGAGGGGCATAAGGCAATGTGGAACAGGAGAAGTTCTAAATTTCTTAGATTCCCCCCAAGTTCCTACCACTGTTTCTGTTGCTGTCGAGCCGGCAAGGGGGGGGGAGAGCTATATAGTACACATGAAACAGGAAACTCAGCAACCGAGAAAAATTGTTTCACCAACGCAGCGAATTTCTCTCAAAACCACGAACGACCTCCTCTCCTTGAAACGGCCAAATACGACCCCCCCAGAGTGGCCAAGTACGAACCCCTCTCCCAAGTGTTTCACACAACGATGCTACACCATGTTTTTAGCGGCGCCGGTACAGTTGTTACCAATCATTGCTCGACGGTGGAGCGCCCCTGGTCGTAATCGCGCCATGCAACCGCGCAACCGCGAAGTATGAAGTCCGCTTTCATAGAATCAATTCCGCGATGCAAAAGTTGGATTCTTATCTGGTTAAAACACGTCTTTATTGAAAGCGACGCTTCGCGACCGCACGCGTACCTTGCTGACAGGTTTCAAACTGTCTTTTCAAGAAGTAAATTCCAAATCGGAACATGTCAAGCGTGTATGAATTTCTAACCTGTGTAACCAGTAGAACAAGCTGTTTATCGTGTAGTCGCTTACGATGAACTCAGCCATATGAGGATCAACAGCGTAGGGAAACTGTACGGGGAAAGCACCAAATGGCGTGCCTGAAATTTCATTGAAATTATTACAACTGAAAACTTCAAGGGCAGTTGGCACGATAATTTTGTACTCGGCCTGAAATGCTAGCAGGGCGCTATATAGTGGGGAAAATGGCGAAAGAACGGAGTGAAACGGTCAAAACCTGCGAAGAAAAAGCCTTCGTTTCTCAATGACTCAAAAATCAATTTCGGACGAGTTTCCATAGGCATCTTGCCAATAACCGCTACCGAAGATACGGCTGCATGTATGTACTCATATATCCATGCAGCATCGCGGCCAATCCCTTCGCTTCATAATTTGCTTAGCAAATGAATCGATTAGAGCGTCAGGAACGGTCGTCCATTTGTGGGCGGGCGGGCGGGCGTGGAGGGCGTTCGGGTCGGTATGTTGTAGCTTGATAGGGCTCTTATGAGGGTGCCTTTCTTGGAAAGGGCGCTATGCAGCGCCTGCTCAGGGGCATAGGAATTCCGTCCTGCCAGGTATATTAATCCCACTCGTCTTTAGGAATTTATCGTGCCAACTGCCTTTAACGATAATAAATTGAACTCAAATCCATTTGGTGGCGCCTAACGACCAAGACCATCTGAAATTTGCTACTGTACTGATTTTCGTCAAAGCCGAGGTGCACTGGTTAGAGCTGGCGTGTTCACTTGCACAGACCACGGCGTAGGTTGTCCTTGTAATCCACAACATCAGTTGAAAAACTATTCGACATAGGCATCGCTACCCTTTGCTGTCCTATTTCTCGGGAATTAGGCCATATTTCAATCGGTTTTCCACTGAACGTGAAGAGGTTCACCCGAGGAATGGTTGACCGCCCTCAGCACGAGTACTACGTCTGCTTGGCAAGAAAGGGCCTGGCAGACCCTAGCAATATGCGCTAGCGCCAATAAACCTCTAATCACCAGTGTGGCTGTAAACTTGTTCCTAGGAGTAGTGCGACCGCTCTGAATGCGAATATCGCATCCGCTCAGCACCACATGCGGAACAGGGTACAGCATCGTTGTGTGAAACACATGGGAGTCGTACTTGGCCGCTGGGGAGGGGTCGTATTTGGTCGTTGTTGGGAGAGGGGGGGTCGTATGTGCCTTTGAGAGAAATTTGCCGCGTTGGGAAAAAATTTTCCCGGTTGTTGACTTTTCGCGGTTTTTCCGTTTCACATTGGCTGTATGTATCCCCTCCCCGCTCGACAGAAAATTTTTGGATGAAAAACTGGAGAATGTGGGAAATTGGTGGGTAGGTGTTGCGGAAGAGGATGGTCGTACCCAGACCCTTTTCAGGTGGGGGAGGGGGTCGTACCGAAACCCTCATTCGGGAGGGATCGTACTGACACCACCATTTCACATTTCATGATGCGGGAAGAGGACGGGGGGGGAACGCCACTGCCTACGCGGTCTTGGGGAGGGTGTTATATTCATGTTCTTTGGGTCAGACTGCACCTGGAAACAGACTTTCGCCTAATTTGATGACTTGAGGTATTTTGGCGCGCCGGGCCAATCAGTATTGTGCCAAACAGATGTAGGTTTTTACGACCAGGGGTCAAATTTACCCTGGAGACAAGTTTCCACAGTGTTCCAGGCTATTCGAGTTCTCTTTCAGAAGTAGGTAGTAAAGGCTGTATAGTGCGCCGAGATAAATCCCAGGTTTTTCACTGAGCGCCAAGGTAAGGTCAGGGGATTGCTGGTGAGAAAAGCCACTTATACTTTCGGCACCGTTGCACCCTCATCGGCGTCAGCTGAACCCATTTACACCTCTTTTAAAGGGGAAGAATCGATACCACCGAAAACACCATAAGAGCGTCGCTGTAGATGACGTGTGTTGACGTTGCGGGTTCTCACTTTAGGATATCTTTCAGACCTTTCCGCCCTACTCACTAATGATCGCCTAAAACGTTCACTATTGGTTTTTTCCTACTCGCACTCTAATGCTAAACGGAAACACAGCCATAAAGGTGGTATCGATCGGCAACGGGAGCTACTTCTTGAGAGAGCATGGGAGAATAGGAGGGTACGTCCTTCTTGTTTCACAGTCTTTCACCTCTTATTCTTCTAACGTTCCAAAACACATGCACAGCCAATACAGCCACAGCCTATGAGTCCGACTAATGCCCACTACTGCTCTACAAGACCATTACAATCCCTCAAATAGGAGGACGTTGGAAAATAGTCTGCAGAAAAGGCTCAGCTTGGCTCAGAGGGGGGGGGGGCATTTTGTAAACCCCTATAAGCTCGCGTAAGTAATGAAATGATACAAGTTTCAGTTCAGTCCAAATTACTTTCTTCGCAGATGGTTTCACCCTCCCCAGAGCTCTTTCACCCTAGCCGTGAGCAGAAATCCCCTCCCTCTAGCTCACAATCTCTTCGTCGACTCTCTGTTTTGTGATCAAAGGAAGAAAAACAAAGGAATCTTCTTGTAGTGAAATCTAAACGTTTTAACAAACAGTTAAGCGGTCTGCTATCAAAATGACCCGGCCAACTAAATACCTAAATAGCCTTCCCCCCCCCCCACCGCTTCGGCAGGACTGCCGCCATAAAGCTGGTTCTACTCCATTGCAGCGATTCGCGACTGAATTCTCCTGTGAGATCGATGGTGAAGTCATTCGAAGTTGCATGCGTGCCTATCAGTTGTACGCTCAAGTACAGATCACTGAGTTTACGCTGAAAAGTAAGGATGTAGTTGAAAATTCAGTGCGATCAAAAAAAACCTCCATTCTTGAGATGGAAGTTCCGATGATACGATTTTCGCTTGATAGTTGCCAACACCAGGAAGCAGGTATACACCACGTGTTTCTCGGAGATGGGGAAGGCGGGGCTGCGTACTTCGTTCGTTCGTTTCGAAGGTGACGGCGGCTGCGCTTCATTGGGAAGTTCCGTTCTAGGACAGTTCTAATGAGGCTTTTTTCTTTCACACAGCAACACAGGATGACAGTTCCCATATGGAAACATCCTTCACCATGTTCGAAATGAAGCATGCAGCCACGCCCTCCTCATCTCCGTGATAAAGGGTGCAGATTGGTCGCGAGCGCAGCGTTTGTACTACTACCTCTTTGGACTTGACACGCAAACCCTACAGCCGAATCAACTAGCGAGGAAATGTTGTGCACCGAGTTACACTCCATATCCTGGCGGTGGGGTAGGCATGCCTCGTACTTTATTTGCATTGCAGCTGCGCTTCTGGAGGGGCATTTTCGTTTTGGTACAAATGTTGTCATTTCTTCACCAAGCAGATGACAGTTGTCAAGCTTTCTAAATTATATATCTCCACGGAAAAACACATCCTGGGCCATGTTCAAACGAAGTGCGCAGCCACGCCCTCTCATCTCCTGGATATGGAATGAAGGTTTCGCGCATTTTCGGACCTCGCCTCTAGTCTCTCTGTACCTCACGTCCGAGTTGCATGCTTTCGTGATGCCGGCGACGACTTAACACGCCTCATCGCGACCGCCCTCGTCTGGGCTGGCCCGTTCCAGGCGGAACTACAGCAGTTGAAGCCGTATTTGACTATTTTGCGTATTTGATCGCATCTATTCACCCTATTATTTCGTCTATTCACTTGCTATAGTAATATAATATCACGCTAACCAGTAACATCACTCACCATGTCGAGGCCAGCAGATCAGTTGTCTGATGAGACTCATAGGGTCCTGGGTTCCTGAACCAGATGAAGGTGGACATCTGGCACACAACTCGGGACTGGGTGCTACCAATTGCGCTGGTGGAGCTCCAGGAACCTTGAATGAATCGAATACTCTTCTCTAAAACAGTAACGAATACCACACAACAGAACGACTCACAGGTGGAGGCGCTTGTAAGACTGGTCCCGATCCATCTCTCAATACGCGTCCGTCTCCAGCCTGGAAACCGGAAACACCGCCGACTTGACGACCAGACCGAATAGTTTGCGGAACTCCGCTCGGAACAACAAAGCGGTTGAATTGATAGTTTCGAGCTTGACGCTTGTTTCGAACTATGACGTGGTGAACCTGAATATCGAGCATTACACAAACCCATTTCAAACAGCCAAGCTTCACTAGAGGGGAAGGCGAAGTGATTAAGAGGGTTACAGCGCCCCGGCGTGATTTTCAAGTCTACCCACTGTTCGCGGCCAGCAGCTCTTCCTTTCTACGAGTACTAACCGTAAGTGGTATCGGAATTGTCCGGGGGAGCGTTCAAGACCCTAACGCAATTTATTGGTCTCGAAAGACAAATGCATGGCGTATCCTAGCGGAACTACTAATTTCTTCCTAGAATATCTCAAAACTGTCCCAGAAATAATATATGCTTTCACAAACT